ATGACAACACTCCTTGGTGAGCCTACTCCCACTCCGCCTCCATCACATTCGGGAGATCTGTGTCACACTGACATTCTAGAATCTACATTCCCTTTGTAAGTTACGCCTGAGCTGTTGCTACAACAAGCCGACTGCCCCTTGTATGTGTCCCACCATACATGAGTTGGGATATTAAAATTTATCTGTGTATATACTGCCCCAGCAGGTTGCTATTCACAGGCTGGAAAGAAATGCTCAGCAAATCTAAGCACCATGTTTCTGTCTCCCTCTCATTCTCAGTCCTTCTGGAGGGTCATGAAATTCTTGCTCTGGGCTCAGACGGAGCAGGACTGGCCTCTAGACTCCTCCTCAGGCAAGCGATGTGGCCCTGGGTGAGTGTGACACTTCTGCAAGCCTCAGTTGCTTCATACATAAAGTGGAGGAATATGATCAACCCCAGGTGCAGTCTGAGGACCAAGGGGACGTGGGCGAGTGGGCAGCAGGGTGCGCCCCACCTCTAAGCGCGGCGAAGGTTAGCCAGTGGGAGTCGAAAGAACTCCCCTCGCTTTCAGCAGATGGGAACATTTCTGTGTTTCCTAAGTTGGTCTTGTCTGTATTTCACAATCCAGATTCAGTCTAGTAAGTCTACTTTCTTAGGCTACTGGCCGAGTCAGGGCCGTATTTAAATAATGAGCCTTGGGAACGGGATACATGGATCTGCTCATGGGCCCGCCTTCGGCGCAGCCTTCTCCCTCTGCTCCTCTTGGGTTCTCCCAGACCTAGCTCTGAACACACAAAGACGTCTGTGCACATCTGGCCTTTCTTTCAGAGCAGTACTGCTGAGTAGAACGTTCTGCAATAATGAAAATGTTCTATCTGGAATCTACGTCCTCAAATCCTGCAGGTGCTCGCCATTTGGAGCTCGCTGAGCACTGGAATGTCAACAGTGCCATGAAGAACCAAAGTGGAATTTTCTTTTGTTGTAATTCAGTGTAAACTGCCACATGGGGCTGGTGGCTACCTTCTCGGTGCAGTGCCGGAGTAAAGATTTTTCTTTTCCTTTTCAGCCGAAGAGTCTCCGCTGCCATTCCTAATGTAGGGTGCGTGCCTCTGCGACCAAGGGCCGGGATGGGCGTATTGAACTTACATTTCATGGTTTGGATAAAGGCTCCTGCTGCTTGACTTTTAAAAAAGCAGCCTGTGTTTGCATGTGTGTGTGTGTGTGTTTAAGAGGTAGGGGAACCATGTTATCTCACGTTGCAAAAACAGGGGGGGAAGCTGCGGCTGGCTGGAAACTTCAGAGCAGTTGCTCAGATTACCTGGAGCTCTTCTAGTGAAAACAAACCAAACCAAACCACCCCACCGTGGGTGTCATCACTGCTAGCTCTTCATGAGCACCACTCACCACAGGCTCATCAGAGATTTAAACACATGCGGCTGCTGCCTGCTGTGAGCGCCCTGAGCAGAATGGCGTGAGCAAGGGCCCAGGGAACACCGTGATGTCCTGCACAAAGTCTCTCAGGAGGTCTCCTGGGTCCCTTGGACCACTTCCCCTCATTGTAATAATACATCTTAATAATTTTCATGTCCTTTTATTTCCAGGCTCAAACCAGAGCAACACAGAAGAGAAACCAACACATGGGAGACAGAGAGATAGAGAGAGGGAGTTGTCTGAAAATGCTGCTTTGAGCCAAGTCTGCAGAGCCAAGACTCCACCAGGCACATATTTATTTTAAACACTGTTATTTGGTTTACGTTTTCTTGTGGTTCCGACAATGATATTGCATGCTGCTTCAAAGCTGGGAGAGCGCTGTGGAAGCACTTCAGGCAAGAGGGTTCCGACCGTTGACCCTTAATGGCCTCCTCTGGGCAACCCCACTATGATTCACAAAGGTGTCTCGAGCCTGCTTTAAATTCCACTTGTCGTACAGGTTCCAGGTTGACTTGGCCAAATTAATAGGTGGGGCCGACCCTTCAGGCAACCATCCATCAGCTGTCAGGGAGGAGCCTCCGAGCTCTAAGCCCCGCCCCCTAGGCCCCGCCCCCGACTTTCCTCCTCTTACCTGCAGGTCTCAAACCCCATGCTCAGGGCTTTCTCCATCTGGGCCATGGTGGGCAGGGTGCTGTTGAAAGCCTTGCAGAGGTCAGCGGCCTCTGTCCTGGAGATGCTGTAGCGACCATTTTTCTCCACGTGGAACACACCTCCGTATCGGCAGGTTATATTCAAATCTGTAGGATGAAACAGAAATGGTACATGCTTTTGCATAACTTATTTGGGAAGGGTAAGAAGTCTGTTTGAGGGTAGATTCATTAAAAACAAAACAAAACAAAACTTCTCCACTGGCCAGAGCCTTCAACATGCAGTCCAGCATTCCAAAGCACGACACATTAATCTCAACTCGGAGCTAAGACACAGTAAAGGAGCATCACTCTGGCATTGTCTCCGTCGATTGCTCTACAAACAAGCTTTTTTTTTTTTAAGATTTTATTTATTTATTTGACAGAGAGAGTGAGAGAGAGAGCACAAGCAGGGGGAGCTGCAGCCAGAGGGAGAGGGAGAAGCAGGCTTCCCATTGAGCAGGGAGCCCGATGTGGGGCTGGATCCCAGGACCCCAGGATCATGACCTGAGCCAAAGGCAGACGCTTAATCGACTGAGCCACCCAGGCGCCCTTACAAATGAGTTTTTAAAAAGCATATGACCTATTTCTGGCTATTAAAGTAATACAACTTGTAGAAAACCGACAAAATTCAGGGAAATAATGAAGGAAAAGCTAGGTTACCGCTACTGCCAACGCTTTAAACATTTTGTATCTTCTTTCAATTTTCTGAATCTGCGCATGTGTGTGTGTGTGTACACTTATGTACTTACATATTAACGCAGTACTAAATATACAGTTTTAGATTTGGGCGTCTTTTTTCCCACTTAAGCTTATACCATGAGCATTTTCCCACAACCATGTGGTGTTACTTGTAACCTCTAATGGCTTCTGGCTGCACCCGGAATAAATGTCCTCTTCCGGGCTGACAAGACCTACAGGAGGAGCTGGCTTCTGTCTCCCTCTCGAAACTTTAGCAGCTCACTCTGCTCCAGGCATAAAACTTGCCTTCAGTTCCTTTGGCCATTCTGAGTTCTTGGCCACCTTAGAACACATATCTGCCGTGCCCTCTGTCTGGAATGTTCTGTCCTCAGATCATTGTATTTTGTGTTTTGGCTGCACGTCACCCCCTCTTAGAGGCCTTTCCTGAGCACTGTTATCCAACCCACGTGTCTCCCTCGCTCACCCTACTTTGGTGTCTCCACAGCAACTTGTTTATTTATTTGTGCATTTAATTATTATCCATCCACCCTTCCTGTGATAGAAGCTCCAAGAAAAGCAAGGACCTTTTACCTGTGTATTGTGTTTCTCTAATTCTCACAAGAGTGTGACAGAGAGTAGATGCTCAACCAATATTTACTGAATAAATGGCTCCTTAAAATTTCTTACAAAGTACACCTTCAACATATTGACGGATAGAGCCAAGACCAGTTGTTGGCTCCCAAGAGTTAATGGCATTCAAAATGAAGCCGAATGGCTATCAACTGGTTAAAGGATGATTTAATCCAAGGGCTCCCGTGAATTTTGCAGACATTAATCCAAAATCTCAATAAGAAGCTGAAGAATTATCTACCCGATCCCGTGAAACCATTTCACAAGGCTTCTAAACCTTTAATAGAAAACTTATTTTTCTGGGACTGTATTATCATCCCCAGTTCGCATTCCAGCAAACGCCAACACGGAAAGGTGACGTCATTGAAACCGTCCTGGTGGAGTGCGATTCCTCCTGAGCATGTCCTAGAGCCTCAAGTGCAGTCCTTGGCCAAGGAAAAAGCTCACCGGCATTTCCTCTGGGCCTACCACAGGGTGGCCTGCATGCCAGGCCAGGCGCCATGTTGTTAGTTAGAAGCCAGCTCTGGATTCAGACAGAACTGGCTTTAACTCAGATTCCATCCCTCCCTTGGGTGGGTCCAGGGGGAGTCAGAAGATTCTGCTTATGTATCAGTGAGAAAACTGAGGCTCAGAGAAATGAGTTGCTCCAGGAAGTGATCACTTCTATATAGAGCCTGTGGTTGACTTCTTGACTCTCAGTTGCTTTGATCTTCAGCTCTGAGCTGAGAGCCAGGGGAGGGAAGGCCTGTTACTGCAGTTTCCCTGGGTCCCCAGCACCTCTGGGGTTCTGTGTTACATCATCTTCCACGAACGCCAAGTGAGTTGTATGCAAGTGTACACGTATTATTTATAGGTAAAGAAACTGAAGCTCAGAAAAATTAAGCAACTTCCTCAAGTCAGCCAGTGGCAGAGCTGGAACCCCATCTCGGGTCCAAGTAGCACCAAAACTCACCCTCCAAACCACTTTGCTGTGTACCTAGGATCCTTCCATGTCATTAGTGCGAGCGTCACCTCTAAAGGGGACAGGTGCTCCTAGACAACAGCCACATAAGGACGAAGACAGGGTCGGTATTGCTGAGCTCAATGGACAAAAACTGCTTTCTCCCTTCCCAGCAGGAAGCAGGTTCTAACCACCAGGAAACAGTGTCTAACGATTTGCAAAATAAGATGATGAGAGAACCGTGAAACTTCTGTATGATCTTCCTTGACTCTGAAAATACTAAGCCAGCAGCAAGAAATGGAGCTTCGAGAAGACAGAAGCCCACATCGGTTGCTTCTCTCTTTTTGTATCATTAGCACGTAGGTGATTTTTGAACGCATCAGAACTGCGAGGCCTGGAGAGCACGTGTGATTCATTCCTTTGGGGGCCTTCGGGTGTCCTTCTTCAGCCACTCACACGAGGCTTGCCTGATGAGGCAGGAGGACAGCGGGGAGGGAAATGCACAAGGCCCTTTGGAAATATTGTTTGTTGTCACTGACATTTTCAGCTTTGGCCTCTGTCAGCCGGTCTTCACGCAGGGAAAGCTGTCAGGCGGCGGGGACAGCCCTTCCCGCGGCTTTCCTTCCCAGGCCTACAAAAGGAAAACACAGCCTCGCAGTCCGCTTCTCGGAGGGGAGGCTGCTCGGGGGAGGCGGCAGCAGAGGCCAGGAGAGGGACCGACGGCCTGTCAGTGCGTGGCCAGGGGGCCGCTGTCCCTCCCGGGTTTAAAAATAAAGTCTGAGGGCGCCTGGGTGGCTCAGTCGTTAAGCGTCTGCCTTCGGCTCAGGTCATGATCCCAGGCTCCTGGGATCGAGTCCCGCATCGGGCTCCCTGCTCGGCGGGAAGCCTGCTTCTCCCTCTCCCACTCCCCCTGCTTGTGTTCCTGCTCTTGCTGTGTCTCTCTCTGTCAAATAAAATAAATAAATGAAGTCTGAGGCCTAGACGGTGGTTTGGAGCTGAACGGCAGTTTCTGTCGTATGAAAATTCATTCTCGTTTACCACCTGGCCCCCAGGACATGCAAATGCAAAAGGAACTGAGACTTTTGAATAAAATGCCTTGAGTTCCACAGCAGCAGGCCGCGGGGCTTCAGAGACCAAAGGCGCACGCGCCGTGTGAGTGTGCCCGCCCGTGTGAGTGTGCCCGTCCGCAGTGGGCGCGCCTGCCGTCAGCCCCGAGCGCCAGGACCGGGTGAACTCAACCTTCGGCCTCCGCGCCGCGGGACGCTGGCCTGGGGCCTGCCACGTAGCAGGTAGCGGCCAGGGGCTGCCGAGGGGGTGAGCGGCTCTACGCAGAGGCGAAGCTCCACGGCTGCCGTCTATCTTCCTCCAGCGAACAAGGTCCAGCTCCTAACCCGGATGGACTTTAGCCACCCGGGCGTTGCAAAGATGCTTCCCGGAACTTCGTTTCCGGTCAGCCATCCCCGTGAGCCTTCTTAGTTCCTCCCCTCTGGCTCCCTCTTGCCTTAAAAGGGACCAAGCCTTCAGGGCTGTGTAGCCTTTAATACTTTATGAAGACTTTCCAACAGGCTTCCTTCACACTGATGCAAACCCCAGTTATGACTCCAAAGGATACTAGTAATACCAGCAGCAATAATAGTAGCAGATACAGACCGTGCATACATATATATATGCCAGACATCCCTCTAAACACTTCACAAGTACTCATTTTATCCTTAAAACAACCCTATGAGGTAGGTGATGTTATTATCCCCACTTTCCAGATACAGAAGCCGAGGTACAGAGAAGGGAAGAAACACGCCCAGGTTCACAGAGCTAGTAATGATGAAGCCAGGATTCAAATCCAGCCAGTCTAATGCCATGCGTCCATCAGACTTACCCACTGGGCTACTACGGCCAACCCTGACTGAAGTAACTTTTTATGACCTCCCAACTTCCCCAGCGCATAGCTTCTCGGGGATATTCCCAAGGTTCAGGGAAAGTTAGAGCAAGGTCGAGGCGTGAGTAGCTGAGGACCACAGATGACTGGACAGGGCACCAGCATCGCTGGCCGTGGCATTTGCCACACCATGAACTCCTTCCAGAGAAGCAGGACTTCCCACATGTGTGTGCCTCTCTCCTGAGAAAGAGAGGCTTCTGTGATTCGGGATCTGTGGTGACTCAAGAGGCTAATACTGAATGGCCAGTTGCATCTCTCAAACAAGTGTTTCCAACTGAAAGTAAGTCAAGAATGTTTTCCATTGAGCCCTCTGGTCTCCAATAAATCCCCTGCGTCGTGTAACAAGGAAACTGTCCCAAGTCCCTCCCTCTGAGAGACCCAACAGGCAACATTAACTGTTCAAGGCCACTTTCACACTCAGGGAGGAGTCTCTCTGGGGGGGAGAAATGCCACCCGAGCCTTTGGAGTGCTCGTGATTATAGGAGGGACAGCGGGATCATGGGGTCCAGCGCCCAGGGGTCTCGTCACCCACAGGGGAAGAGGTCTGCCAGTGAACCCGTCAGGAAGTCTAGAAAAAGGTGCTCTCCGAGAGTGCCCTTCTTGTCTAACCATACTCCCTGGCACCAGACTCACATGCAGGTTGATAGCTCAGCGTATTGAGAACACTTCCACAGCTGGGTTCGAATCCTGACACAGCCACTCACTTGCCCACTCGTTCCAGTTTACATAGCTAGTTAGTTCCTTCCCCTCTCTGACACTCAGTCTTCTCCATGGGATGACGATACCAACCGGTCAGAGTTTGATAGGTGTTTGGCACTTAATTAGAGTCCATAGCGTTGCGTAGCTATTAGGCGGCTTATATCCATCAGCTAATTTAATTCCTACAAAAAGTGCTATGAAGGAGGCACCATTCCCAAACCCATTTTAGAGACAAGGGAACACAGGCACAAATAGGTTCAATAACTTGCCCCCATCATCCAGGTGGGAGAGGCGGGGATCTAACCTCTGCGCCGGGCTGCCAATTAACTATGCAGTGTTCTGGGGTAAATTCATTCTTACTTGGATAAATCCTAGCTGACCCATATAACACTGTTAATCTTACCTATATTTTCCACTAAGCCACAGATCAAGGAAAGTAGGTCTCTCTAGTAAGATCCGCCCAGCACATTTCAGAACCTTGCCAAGCGAGATTGCAAGGCCGGAGAGGAATGGTTTGCCCCGGTCACTCCCCCCAAGGGGCAGAAAATCACACCATCTGCTGAGAATAGAGCACTGTGTAATTTTTCCCCAACTCGCCATTATCCACGTGTCTGCAAACTCTCTGGAGAGGTGAGTGGGGGTGGGGTGGTCACACAGCTGACTAGCGATGGAGCTGAGTGACAAGAGGTTTTCCACCCCGAATCCACCAGCTGGTCTTCAGGGAGGGTCCATAAGCCTATGTGTGTATATGTATCTGTGTGTGCACGTGTATGTGTGTGGAGCGGTTTGGTTGGGACAGCCTCCCAGGTTTCAGTGGTTTCTCAAAGAAGTCTGTGACATGAACAGGTAAAGACTTACAAGGAATTATTATCACCAGGGTCTCTTCAGTAATGAGAGATTCCAGGATTCTGGAATTTCGGAACTTCTGTGGCCTTCTGACAACAGGGACTGCATGTCTCCCTCCCCGCTGTGTCCCCAGCACAGTACTGTCCAGAGTAGGCACAGGTTGAACAAATGAATGACTAAATGAACGAATGAATGAGTGGCTACTCTAGCCCGCCCCCCAAAACTCAGGACAAGCAGACCTGTGAGGTGCAAAGAGAACACCTCTCAGGTCCGTTCCCCACATGACAGCTAAAGAATCACCAGCTGGGCCTTGTTGAGAATTCCCTGTCGGACGCTTAAAATGTCCTTCACCGGAAGCAACTGCTTCTGAGAACCTTTGCTGTTTTCATTGGAAGTGAATGTCTCAGAGAGCCACTTTCAGTGTTGGAAGTGGCTTTGTCGGTCTGAATTCTGGCTGTCATCCTGTCATAGGACCATTTCTCAGCTCAGGTCTCCTGAGAGAGGATGATAGCCATGCTGCGTGCCAGGTGGAGGCCGGCAGATGACGTATAGTCATCCTGTGCCCAGAGCCTCTTGGTTCTCCAAACCAGACTTCTCCAGATGGTCCCAAATGAATTCATTGCTTCTCCATCACGGGTCACCCAGATGTGCCTGGTCCGTATTTGTCATCTCCCCAAGAGAGATCAGGCAGAATAGGATATTTTTTTTTTCCTACTGATTTGGTCCCAGAGTCAGCTATGTGTCTGGGGGAAGTTGCTTTTTCTTGAAGTTGGGAATAGGGCCAGCTCCTGGGACCCAGGGCCTGGTACAGTTCCCACGGCCATGGAGACAACTGCCGGGACTCACCCAGTGATGACGCGGGGCCATGCGAGCTTTTCAATATCTGCACCTCAGAATTCATTTCATTCTTGCCACCATGCCACCATGTGGCCGGCACCTTCATTATTCCCCTTTTAGGCAGGAGGTAAGTGATTCACGGAGAAGACAGGAGAGACTGGAACTCGTAAGCAGGGGCTGGGTTTCAGACTGGGCAGTCTAGCTGATCACAGTGTGTGTGGGGAAGATGCTAGAACTTTGGGAAGTCACTTATCCTCCATGGGGTTTCTCAAGGGCAGAGCAGTGAGCTCTACAAGAGAGCTCTGGAAAGAGGAATTTGAGCTTCCTGAATATTATTTTAAGATCAGAGGTCCCTTGTTCTGGGCCATAAAACTCAAGAGGTCAGGGCCTTTGCTCCCCACCCCAGCCCCCCATGGAACGTCCACCCTCTCCCTGGGGAGAAGATTCGGAGGTGCCCGTGTTCACTGGCTTGCCCCAACAGTGAGCTGCCTACCTCTTTCTGATTCTACCTGTGCTGGTCACATGATTCCCTTGGGAGCTGAGACCCAACCCAAGCTACAGCCTCAGGCTTCCCTTGCCCTTTATAGCCTCTGGCCCATCAAGCAGGACAAATGAAGAGAGGATCTTGGGACTCAGCCTTGGCCCAGGGCTGGGACACCAGACCGCAGGCTGTCCTTGTGACATTTTGAGATGTTTTTTGCCCAGCCCGGAAATCTCAACAGACCAAGCTAAAATGCCAGGCCAATCAAGCTGGAGCATGGCCCTCCAGGCTAACTTCATCCAACCCCCTTGGAGGTGGCAGGCAAGCTTCTCAGGCAGTGGCAGCTGGAAGCACTGGTGGGTTCCCCACATTTTTTCGTTTTCATAGTGTTTATCTTGAAGTAGCCAGGATTCTGTTTCTGTCTTCTGATTTGCTGAGCTCATGTCTAAAAAAAGATTACATAACTCACAAACCTAACTGAACTGATTCTGATTAGAAGCAGGGAAAGAAAAGGCCATTTTTTTCCTTTTCCCGAGCATGATGGCTAATTGGATCATCTATGTTTAAAGCCAGGTGGGGCCAACAGACAGTTTCTAACCAAATTCTCTTGAGACAAAGAGAAAACAAAATCCAGAATGACTGAGCATGGTCCCCCAGCCCATTGTGAGAAAAGCAGGGCCTCAGGGGTCCATAACTGCTAGATTCCTGACTCCTCGTCCAGTGCTCTTACTCCTGAACTGCTTTTATAAGAGGCCTAAGCAAGCTGTTCCCAATAAAGCCACAATCCACTGTCTTAACGGGCCCTGAAGAAACCATTCTATTCTTCATTTCTTTGATTGATGTTTTCAAAGCCCCCAAGTTCCCATCTGGTAGTCTTCCTCGCTCTTAGAGCCCCTGCTGCCACCCAAGCCCGCTAGGCCAGAAGGCTGGCAGTCTTCCTGCTGCCCCCACGTCACTCGCCCCCATCCCCTGACATCCATGTGATGGGCGCCTGGTGAAAGGATCTATTGTTCAGCATCCACTTCTGAATGAGGCCAAAATCACACTCAGTGGCCGAATTGCCTTTGGCTGCCCAGTGCAGACCATGAGTCCTGGGTGACTCAGTCTCTCCCGGAATTGCCCCCGGAGGTGGGTGAGGGTTTAATGAGCAGAGAAAATAGTCATACACTATCATACCCAGAGTATTTCCTCCAGACTCTGTCCTGGGTTGCTTTCAACTAAGCTATTCATCTCTTGGCACTTAGAAAGGAAATGCACCCCAACTTCTTAGCGCCTGGCTGTACCCCCTGACCTTTCAGCCTCTTGTCCATAACCATAGAGCCTGTCATGGCCGCCAACACCAAACCAACAGGGGCCCATTCCATCCGCTCTCTCAGAGGAGAGTCCAAAGGGATTTCTCAGTCACTATCCTGGCCTTCCATCAAGGCCCCCACAGGACTGACCCAGTGGAGCTCTTGGGTTGTTTTCACAGTCCGAAGAAGACCCCACCCCTGTCTCCTTGTAAGGTGACGGGAACAAGGGGAGGGGACAGGGTGGAGAAAGCCTGTCGACGTTCCCACCCCTGATCCTGGATCCAACAGAATCTTTCCAGCAAAGGAGAGTGTGTGTCCCAGCACTGTCATCTCAGTACACAACTCTGTAAGGTCAAGTGGTCTTTGGTGAGCCAGTCTCCAGGAAGAGAGAGGGAGAGAAACCACAGTGTGTACACCTGCGTGTTGCCATGACGATCAGGAAACACTCAGGTCTGGCCTTGAAACCTTTGTTTTCTTCTTTTTCTGATCATATCAGTTTTAGCAGATTGACTCACACAAAGCCAGGATGTGGTAAAATGAAATGAGAAAGCATCATCGGGGCCCACATGGGGTTTTTCCTGTTGCAAGGAGGGAAAAAAAGGGGTCCCGCTCTGGTAACTAGATTTGCTCTTCCTGGTGTAGTTACAATTCCGGCTACATCACCTCATTTCTTGTTCAGCTTTTGCTCAGGACTGCTGCCTGTACTTTGAGGAACTGGCTTTATTGAGTTCGAGGGAAGCGCTTCATGAACTCCAAGGTGGACCGAGGTTGTCACGCACAGTTGGGAGCTGCATTTCGGGGGGTTAGTGGGCCGCTGACACCCTGCTGAGCCCGGGGCCCCCACCTGGGAGGAGGAATGGGTTCTAGCCTAGGTCCTGTTAATTATAAGCTGCATGACCTTGAGTAACTCATGCTAGCTCCCAGGTTCACATCTTGCCTTCCTACCTCCCAGGATGAAATAAGGACTTAGGGGACACTTGGCACTTGTGGGATAAAAGGGGGAGGAGTGATATGCACACCAGGGACGTTATTAAAATCTCAGATAGCTTCTCAAAAATCCAGTATTAGTTTAAGACACATTTGGGGTCCAAGCCCTGGGGAAGAAGCAGATGGAAGTGTAAGCCAGCCTCAGTGATCTTGCCATGTGGGTGGCTTCCTTCTCCAATTCCACATCCCAAAGCAGCTCTGTGAGGCCCAGCAGGATCCATTTTACAGATGAAGAAACTAACGAACAAGAGATCCAGAGACTCAAAGTTCTACAGAACTTGAATAACACCCAGACCTCAACTCAGATTGTCAAGCTCTTCTGGTTTCCCCCCATTCTCTGCAGTACTGACCTTTCCATCTTGGATTGTCAACAAGCAAAGGCGAAAGGTGCACGCTCAGAGAAGAGCGATCATTTTCAGACTGCCCCCCCGCCCCACCACGATGGATGCCTTAGGCAGAGCCTCAGTATTTAAGATGGGTAAAAGCAGAGCTGTTCCGGGGGGTAGGGGAGCGGGAGTGAAGGCAGAGGGTCAGACCCCAGACCCTCGATCCACCAGTTGCTCATTCTTGCCCAGCCCCCACGCCACCCCATCAATGGCCCCGACGCCCTCCACAAAGCTCTAGGAGGCTCACTCTGGAATGCTCCGGAAACTACGGCAGTAGAGGCCAGTCGCAGCGATGATAACCACTCAGCAAGGCCTGCAATGTGCCAGGGGCTCCAAAGCATTTGGAGCCCTAAGAGGGTTAGTCACTCCTCGTGATTAGCTATGGAAACAGAGAGTCGGGGCATTAAGTAATTAGCCCAGGCTCACAGCTCAAAGGCTGCAGTCCAAGTGAAACACAATTGTGGAAAACTGCTTTATAAGTGATACAGGCTTAGTATGACTATTTTTGTTTTCCTCCCCCTCTCAGTCTCAAGAATAAATTTACCTCGCGATGTGAAGTTCCATGAAGGCTGTCCCAAGCCCCCTATAGAGAGGAGACAGCACAGTATGAATTTCCAGTCCTGTTCTCCAAGGATGGGATTGGTCAACAGTGTGCCCGACAAGATTTATAGAGTCAGACACGAAGGTGAGGCTGTTGTGCTTCAAGATAGAGCCATCCAGGCGGAGGGGAACAAGACTGCCACCAGTCCCTCGGAACCCAACCTTAGCACACGGCCCAGTGCCTCTCCAACTTTGATTTTATTTCCTCTGGCCTACCTCTTTGAGCATCTTCACAAGTGATAAAGGAAAGGTTCTGGAGTTTATAGAGCTGCGAGTCTGAGTCAGACCTTAGTCCAGAAGCCGTAAGAGATTTTACACGTGATCCCCAGAGCCCCTTCGAGAGGTCAAGTTATCGTCTCCATTTTGCTGACGAAATAAGTGAGATTTGGAGCACAAGTGACCCAACATCCCACCGTGGAAGTGGCAAGGGCAGGAGTCAAGCCCGGGGATGACACCCGGTCTCTGACATGAGTCACTCTTCTTGGGACACAAAGACGGTCCCATTGGGGGGAGCCTGAAACGCATGCGTGCTGTAGGGTGTGGTTGGGACACTCAAGTGCCTACAAATCCTCCTGCTGAGCCTCTGGCTGGCCTCCCCAGTAACATTAACGCTAAGTTAGCACCTACTGCGGGGCTGGGATCTGTGCAGGGGCTTCACACTGATTGTCTCATTGAATCCCCACAATAAAGGTATGAGATGCATGCTATTATTAGCATCGAACCATACTCCAGATAAGAAAACCGAGTTTTAAAGGGGTTAAGAAACCCGTCCACGTTTGTACGGGCGGCGGACCCGGCAGCCTGGCCCCTTGTCTCTTAGCCACCGCACTGATTAACTTGAGGAGGTTCCAGACCAATTTCCAGATAACACCTCTTGCCAGAGAGTTTGCTCGCCACTGGGCTAATATGTGCTAGCCCCATGCAGATAGAGCTGGTGGACGGGGGCTCTTACTACTGGCTCCTCCAAAGGGGGTAACTCATGGACCCAGTGAGCTGGGAAAAATTTCACAGAAAAATCAGTCCTGCCCCGGGACTTAGGAAGCCTGTGCGCCAGACAGAGCTGACCATGCCAGGACCACAGGCAGAGGACAGGCTTGATGAACGGACTCGATTTCCGCCTGGCTGCAGTAGTAGGTCACTAGCTCTGCTCTTCCCATGACAGTTCACATACCCCTTAGTTTGATGGGCTTTAACCTAACCATTTTAACAACCCTCTCTCTCTTCTCTCATTCTCTCTGTCTCTGTCTCAAGATGCTAAAATGAGAAGGTGTGTGCATGTTTGTGTGCATGCACGTGCACACACAGGAGGCAGGCTCTCCTTCCCAGTCCAAGAACCCTACTCCAGTTTATTCTTCAGATGCTTTTGAGAGTAACGCAAATGTTTC